GTTTAAATAGTGTATAAAGTTGTATATGTATATAGAGATAATTGTATATAGTGTTTATATAGTATATAGAGTTGTATATGTATATATGAGTTAATTGTGTATAGAGTTGTATATGTATATAGAGTTACTTGTGTATGGAGTTGTATATGTATATAGAGATAATTGTATATAGAGTGTATATAGAGTTGTATATGTATATAGAGTTAATTGAGTCTATGTATATAGAGTTAATTGTATATAGAGTGTATATAGAGTTGTATATGTACATAGAGTTAATTGAGTCTATGTATATAGAGTTAAGTGTATTTGCCATGTGGATATTTTGATATAATTGACATTATGCATTTATTAGATGCTTTTATCCAAGATAACTTGCAATACATTCAGGTTAAAAACTGTATTAGCTTATGTCAGAATAGCCAGAAATATTTCTCACGCTACAGTGCCTATAGAAAATCATTATACCCTGTGAAAATCTATACAGCTTTTTTGTTGTTGATTGTTTGTTTATGTTTGTAAATGCAAACCTTATACAACCTTATTGTAAAGTGTTACCAACATTTCAAATGGTGGAATAGTTATTTGGGATGTGATCTAATTTCAGGCTGTCAAATAAAGTCGTTATTTCAAAGGGGTATGATGATTTTTTCTATAGGCATCATTAGTGTTCATGTTTGATTGCGTGAAACGAAATGGAATTTTTGCTTAAGTTTGCTCATGCGTGTTTGTGTGCATTTGCAGTGCATTGTGGGACATCGAGACAGGCCAGCAGACCACCAGTTTCACAGGGCACACAGGAGACGTGATGAGTCTGTCGGTCAGTCCCGACTCAAAGACGTTCGTTTCGGGTGCCTGCGATGCCTCCGCCAAACTGTGGGACATCAGAGACGGGATGTGCAGACAGTCCTTTACTGGACATGTCTCCGATATCAATGCCGTCTGCGTATGTGCTTTAATCTGCTCTTATTAGCATGCCTCCTGTTTGTTTTGATGTTCAAAATGGCATTACATATATTACATACCTGCATTCAATATAAATAATTAGTATTCAATTATAATGGTAAATACTATTTAATTTAACAGGTTGTTTAAATTTATACATTATTTGAGTAATTACATGTATACATTATTATTCAAATACAATGTTAAATATTATTTAAATGCATACATTTGAATAATTGCATATATTACATGCATTAAATTAACATTATTATTATTCAAAAATATATCAATTATTATTATTATTATTATTATTATTATTATTCAGATATATTAAATATGATAAAAATTCAAATATTATTGATTAATTAACATTTATTCATGATATTTTATGTTTATTCATTGATATTTTATTAATTACATATAGAGCATGCATTAAATATCAGTTAATTATTATTCAAATATATTGTCAACTATTTAAATTAAAATATTATTCATTTATATTTTACATTTATGCATTCATATTTGAATAATCCCATTTCATCCCAAAATGCATTAAAATAAATTATTATTCAAATATAATGTCAAATATTATTTATTGTTCTAAATTATTTAAATTCATACATTATCTAAATAACTACATATAACATGCATTAAATATAAATTATTATATTCAAATATAATTTTAAATATGATATAAATTGAAATATTAATTAATTAATTAATTAACATTTATTCGTTATATTTTACATGTATTCATTGATATTTAAATAATTACATATAGGACATGCATTAAATATCAGTTATTTATTATTCAAATGTAATGTCAACTTGAAATTAAAATATTCATATATATATTTTACTTTTATTTATTAATATTTGAGTTATTACATATAGAAAATGCATTAAAAATAAGTTGAATAATATTTAACATTACATTTAAATAATAACAATAATGTTACAATTTTTTAAATGATAGATTATTTGAATAATTACATTATAAATGCATTAAATATAATAATTACTATTGTCATTTTAATATATTAAATATAGATTGAAATATTTTAATGAATAATAATTCATGAATGAAGAATGCTATTTTATATTTATTCATTGATATTTAAATAATTATATACTATATTATATATTATATTAAAAATAAAATATTTTACATTTAATGTTTATTATTATTTAAATTAAAATATTATTCATTTTTTATTAATTTGTTAATATTAGAATAATTAAATATTGAACATCAAATGTAAATTATTATTCAAATATAAT